GGAAGTCGATGGATGCAGGTGGCTCAGAATCGTGCTTCCTGGCAGGCTGTGCGGGAGGCCTATTATCATCAGTGTTTGTTTTTGGACAATGTATTAATTCTCAATTCTCAATTAAGAATTAATACATTGTCTACTTCTCTATCATTCATTTAAACTAATTGTCAATAGGTAAGAGTAAAGCAGTCTCAGCAGGCGAAACCATGAGACCGTATTTTAGAGCGACCTCCTGATGTGGGATTTTGGATACGAGGTTAATTCTATGCAGATACCCAGATTTAGAAAGTATAGAACAACTTGAGATAATGCATTACGTAGGGATTGCAATCCGGAAAAACGGATCCAGAATCCGAAGGATCCGGCATCATTAAACGTTTATCGGATCCGGTACCAATATAACAGATCCGCAACCGGATTCGGCACATTGCTAAAACGCTTTAATAATTAATGTAATTTCATCTCAGTAAATAGTTAATCATATGTTTAATAAGGTTCATATAATTAATAAGGGTAAACAATATATTAGATTTTATAAAGTTACTAAAGTAATTGTAGATAATTTGAACTATTATATATACAGGGTGGCTTTTCTAAAGGTGCCTAAATTCACACAGGAGCATCAGACTCGGTAGTATAATCGTTTATTGAAATAAAAAGAAGCTTTTTTTTCAAAAAAATTGACATTCTATTCCCTAATAAAACAGAACTTGTTGACAATGCGGTAGTCATTCATAAATGCGTCGTATACTTTTGAAATGAACTTGTGTGCATGTTAGTTATGAATGATCGCGCCTAAAATAAATGAGTTCCCATAAGTCACGGACATTTTGAGATAACTTCAAATGAATATAATTAATTAATTACGAGTGATTTTAAATATTTATCATTTTTACATAACATTATTTATGCACTTACAAAAGCCTCCATCTGTGATAAAATGAAATCTAGGATGATTGAGCTACACGTTACATCGTTAAAATTTTACTACTTACCTACACTACTAGATTTTATTTTGTTTGGTAGTTGTCTAATCTTAATGGATTGGAAATAAAGTTGATTTTATATTTTTTTGTACGCGACAAAGTGGCAAACGAGCTAGTGGTCCACCTGATGTTAAGTGATAACCGCCGCGAGGAGCATTACCTCCTTTTAAAAAAGTAGGCCCCAGCTTCGTCACTCTCCAGACGAAACGCAGAAGTGTAACACGTCTATTTCACGCCTGGTCTCTGTAATCGTGGTGCAGTTTTCGGTCTTAGACGTTAAGGTTGGTTTAACTCCTCCTCAGTATGCCAAAGGAATACATGAGTACTGGCTTGACAGAGTTGTTACTCATTTAACAGCTGGGTCAAGCTTAAGAAATGGATGTAATAAACGCCGTGTTTAACAGCCATTTGACAGGCGTGCAAATAACCCCCTCCGTCTTGCAGTGCCGGAGGGTCTTAGTAGCCCTGGCTTGGTCACCCACGGCGAAGCCAAGAGGAACTCATACTGGCACATGCAGTGGCGGTGGGGCCGCGTGGCGAGAGGAGTGTCGTTATTGCGTTACGCCGTTCTTCCTTCCCTCCGCGGCCGAAACGTGGTGAGCGGCGGAGATACAGACCAGGTTCGCCACTGAAGGCTAGGACGCTTTCTGCTTATTAGCACTGGCTCTCCATGGCCTTTGGTCAGCGAAGTCAGCGAAGTCAGGTCAGCTTTGGTCGGGGGTGTTCGCTGGCCATGAAAATCAGCCCGAGAAAGATCGCGCTGACCCGAGAAGTGCGGTGGCAGGGTCGCGGTAGTGTGCGAAAGCGTTCCCGTATCCTTCTCCCTGCAAGGGTGGGTATAGATAGGCATTAATTTAACAAGTTAACAAAAAAAGAAAACAAAGGCGTGCAAACAACACATGATAAATATTTTTTGACGGCAGCTTTGTTCGCGTGTTTCAGCCAGTCTCTTCAATATACATTTTTGTGACATATCCATGTATCGCTATGTTACAGCCTCGGAAAGGACTATTTTATATTGTTATTGTTTTTATAAATTTACGACATTATAGTAAATTTTTCAACCAACTTTAAAAATGGGAGAGGCCTCTCCATCGAGTTCTATTGTTTTATATTTGTTAACTCAGATTTTTTAAATTCTTTTTACATTGTGTTCGTTTTAGCTTCCATGTGTCCCATGTTAATTTCATTGGTATTGGACTTTAAATTCAGGAGAGACATCATTAGAATCATATTGAAGATATATAGTCAGTGGTCTATTTCAAGACTGTTTTATTTTTGTAAGTAAAATGTTTTAAATTATTGCTTTTAATAAGATCGATAAAACATATTATAATTTTTATACTATTAATATCTGTTATCTTTTTACATTATTTTGAATAAATATATGTTTCTGTTAATTATTTTTGTAAAATAGTCACATGCGAATGAAACGAAATTTGTCTTTATTTTTGACATTACAAATCCGTGAAAGATGTTAGAGTCAGTATTATGTAGTATATAATATAAAATAGTTAAGTATATAGTAAAAGTAGGGTAAAATAAACTAGACCGTTTCAATTTATTTTGAAGAATAAGAGTAAAATTCGTCAATATAGCAAGTATTAACTAACATTATCAACGTTTGTTCAAACTTTCGTAGCCAATGTTATTTTCCTACGGGTACTAAAAATGGACCGTCGTGACTTAATGTAATTGCTGTACAATTAGGGACAATCATGTCGACTATTGCAAATGGGAAAATTAGAGGCGCCGATTTGCGCAAGCTCCGTTAACACAGTCATAAAATGAGCCAATGATATTACTTGTTGCTTTAGCTTAATTTAAAAAAGACAAGAAATGAAAGTAAATTTAAACGTTTTACGTATTACATTTAACCGTAGACTTAAACAAAATCAAAATTGGTACCGATGAATTAATAATAACATTGATATTGATGAAATTTTAATTATTATAGATTAAATTAAAGTTAAAGAAATAATATTGGAAAGTTAAATTCGGAGACGGTACTTAGGTATAGTTTCAAGAATTGCACGTAAAATCTACGCATGTGATTAACTTTTCATAAGTAGTTAACAATAAAACAATCACTATAAATTTAATTAATATTACAAATTTTGAATAAAAGGTTTTTTCTTTTATTATATAATTATACTAGCTGCTACACGCGGCTTCGCCGGCGTGCTCAAAGGGAATTAACAATGAGTTTTTTATTATACACCAGAATAGTATAATAATCTTTATTTATTATAACCTAAACCTTATTCTGCTGTATTAGCTATATTATTGTAAAGTTTCATTAAAATCCATTCAGTACTTTTTGCGTGAAATAGTAACAAACATCCATCCATACATAGAAACTTTCGTATTTATAATATAAGTAAGGATGAAAAATAAAAAAAGTCTTATTATTTTAAAGAATTATTTCGTTTCTTATAATATTTATTTTACTTTTGGGCGTCTAATGTATAAATACTAATATAATGTAATGTGCATAAATTTTCCGCCCATGTTTAGGTTAATGCAGTTTAAGTAAATTAATTTGATTCAGACAGTAAACTACAACTTTGTATTGGTAAATAATTGGAAGACTGACAGTTTGCAATTAATAATTGGCAGGTACGCAACGCTCTTATAAGTTTGCGATCGAATTCTTGCATTATGTAAGTATATTAGCCTATGTTGCCGGGCTCAACGAACCGACTTCATAATTGTAGTCTGCGTAATATTATTTAATGTGCTTGTGCGAGCACTAAGTGTTCCGATCACCATATTATATTGACCGTTAACGGACACGGAAAAAATTAGTATCATATAATAAATCAAATGAAGCATACTAAATAAGTATTAGATAAAGGTATGGTGTACACTAATCTTCTATACATGATGCATTTAAATAGAGTAATTAAATATTAAATTTTTGCATTGATATTTGCTTATTAACTCTTATTGCTTTGAAAAGCTTAGTTTTAATATTTTTTTACATTTTAAAATATACTTTTAAAATGTAAAAAAATTAAATATATTGTTTTAGTCCGCTTCAGAAAGGTACTATTGATTAAATAAAAATATGTTTTCGTCGATTTCATGGATTATATGGTTTAGTATCCTTCCTTTAACTTCTTTTGTAAATGTAACATCGAGCTCTAGAAAGCGAAGGTGAGTGGATGACTGGGTTCGTTCAAATGCTTTCATCACTGACTTGCGCGTTTGACATTACTTCGTTGACAGCAGTCGTAAGTCACAGGCTCATTTATAATACAACGATTTAATCACACTGTTTGCACAAACATTTTGCAATACTACTCCGTACAAAAAAATTGATGTAAATAAATGTATGACCACTTGATAAAAAAAAAAAAACGAAAACTAAAGTTTTGACACATTGAGGTGTAACAAATTATTTTGTGTTTAGTATTTATTACATTATTAAGTATCTATTAGTTTAGTATTAAGTGTATACTCCATTAAATATATTTTGATTATAAAAGAGTTTATGGAAATTTCGAGAATAAGTAACAGTAGAGAGGGCAAAGTAAAAAGATTTTAAGTCAACATTTTATTATTATCACAATTACTCTGGGGCACAGTTAAACATTCTAAGCCGCCAATACAAGACATAACTATAACCGAGCGTGGATTCAAACACAAGGAAAACAAGCCATCCGGCGCAGTCATTCAACTCTACACGACAGAATTTCTCATTTATGAACCTAGAGGCGAACGTAATGAGTTTCATAATTTATTTTTCACATAACAATATACAAAACAACACTTTCAAATAAATTTATATTTATCACTATAGGAATCCGAAAAAATCCTAACCAACGTAAAGTTTTACGTCTATCTCAGGTACATATCATTGAAAATACAAAGCCTTAATAACCGCAAAGCTCAAATCGATTGGTTCGAAATACATCGATACCGTTACAATAATGAAAATAGGCAAGAGGTTACCCTAAAATAACTTTAGACTGTGGAGGGAACTCCACGAATATGCCCAATGTATGCTTTAAATTAGTGCGGTTGGTTATAACCTTCGTATTTGTATCCTTCCGACTCTCCAGACAGTCCCTGGGCTTGCTCAGCGTAGTAATGTCCCTCGGATTCAGGCTGTTGATGTTCGCCGTACGATTTCAAGCCCTCTGAGCCTTCATAACCACCGTAGTGCTGGTAGCCACCTTGCTCCAGACCCTGTTCGTAGCTTCCGTGTCCAAGGTTAGCTAGATGCTCTGTGTCCAATCTGTGGTCCTCGAGGACCAGACCACCGCCATGGCTGTGCTGTGTCTCCGGGTGGATTTGTTTTAAATTCTGCTCGCTCTGGCCCTTTTCCAGAGGATGCTTCAAGAGGTGGCTGTGTTCCTTCTTGATGTAAACGGGCACCGGGTGGAAGTGTTCGAACTTAATCGACTGGTGAGATTTAGCGTGCTCATGCTGTATCTGGTGATGATGCCCAGACTCCCCAATCAGACCCTGGTGATTGTAGCTCTCCTCGACTTGTGGTATCTCTTCGTGGATGACCCCAGGATAAGCAACCGCCACGGCAAAGAATCCCAAGAGAATCTGTGGACATAATTGTAAAAGAGTTAATATTGTCGTTTGATTACTAAAATTGGAGGTTTGCTGGCCGACGTATTAAACTTTCCATAGACCTAAGTTCCTTAGATTTAGATATTGTAAAGACACTATCACGAAACCAGTTTCGTAAAGCAATAGCGTGAGGAACCCCCATCTAGTTGTTATGCAACAAGAGACACTTCTTGCAGCTGCTTTTAAACTGCAGTTAATATAAAAAAATTTCATTCAAATGTCGCATGGTTGCATTAATTAATTTTATATTTAAGCCGAATTACTAATAACACTTTTTTATTTAAAAGAAAATGTATACAATAGTAGATTCTATATAGCTTTTTACAAAGAAAATTATTGCCACAGTCAATATTAAATAAGGGAACACAGTAACTTTCGAAAGCACGATCACAGAAATCACAAAGCTACGCACGTGGTACTTCATTGCGGATTGTCCGGTGCTGTTGATCACTTTGCTCCAAGAGAGGGTGGTGTGTAATGCCAGCAGTTGAGATTTGCATTGCTTTTATACTCGTTTTCACTTAACACGCGGCCGTGTGTGAGTGCTCTGCTCGAGTTACGTCTGCACCAATTGCTACATTGACAGTTAGGCCGCGTCTCGCTTAGAACAATAGAAAAGGTAGAAATTCGCCGATGGATATATGGAAAAAGCACTTGATCGACGACATAAGTGTATTTTGTTCACACCATCATGTAACACATGGAACGGTGGCAGATTTAATTGTTCGGTAAGCAATAAATCAATCTCCATTAAGAGTTACTGTTACGCGTCCTCCAATTTTTGCCGACCACGACTCGGTGGTCTGAGAAATTAATTTTTGCATCATAATTATATTTCATATTTATCCGAAAACTGACAGCATGCTGAAAAGAACAGAATCTGTGTAGAAAATAATATGTACACGATGCGTAAAGAATTATTAATTAGAGCAAACATATGGTAAAAACTAAAATATTTTTTTCCCAAATACAAAGTTAATTCACATTTAGGTTTTACTGTTAAGAATTTGTCTTAATTATGGCTATTTACAAACGTGCAGGAACTATTTAATTAAATTTTTATTTCTATTATAACATTTTATGTAAATTCTTTTCAAGATTTGTTAAATTTTGTATTGCGTCTTTTAGAAAAATAATAATAAAAGTTATTTAAATCTTTATCTCACCTCACCATTTTGGCTAAGGAATATGTATGTATTTTTACAATAGTCATGTGTAAATAACGTGCAAGTCTTTCTTAAACGGTATCGATATCTACAATACTTGCAAAGGACATTACTCTAACTCTAAATCGACTATGTTGCGAATATTATTCCTTTAATTTGTTGTTTATATTAAGGCAAATACTAAACTGGAATGAATCATTATCAGCCAAATGCACTCCTCTTCGTCACGCGTTCCAGTTTACTGAGTCGCGACAACATTGCTTTTGCAAAGAGTATAATTAGTTTGAGAAAATGGAATCTCATTTAACATCGCATTTCACATCGCTCCTTTCATTTTAACTGTGGCAGGGCCACACAACTACTTCGATTGTTGCACGAATTAGCAGACCCGTCTGGGTAAGTACCAAGACCTGACGGAAGACCGGCATGGAGTGGAAGTGTTGGTTTAGGTAGCCGGGGCCCACTTTATTACATGGTGGCAACGCATATGCAACCCTAGATGTTGAAAATTTCCATGGGTGGTGGTTATCACTTAACATCAGGCGAACCACCTGCTCGCTTGCTACTTTCTCACATTAAAAAAAATGTCTTGGTTATTTTATTATTTATCGTTACTAAATTTTATCTCAATCTTAATATGCTCCTTAAATATTTAAAGCTATTCCAATGATAGTTATAGTAAAGTTTAAAAAATATAGTTAATTAAAAATACTTTAGCTCATAATGTTAAAAAATGAATTTGATATGTGAAAAAAGTATGACACCGGACGTGATGCCGATGTTAAATAATATAGTTACGCCGTTTTGAGCAATGATCGACAATAACTGAGATCCAATAAATAATAATGAGTCATTCGATCTTAGCGCTCAGTGCCAACCCGTCTACATAACGATTCTTTGTTGATGTTAGTTCTTGTTGCCTATGTTCTCAGGTGATTACTCAACGATGTACAACAGTATACAGTTTCCTTTAATTGTTTTTCAAATCCTTAAGATTATGTTTCTAGTAATACAACCACTGTATTGGGGATCTGTCATTTCTTAATACAGCCTTCTTAATACAAGCCTTATACAGACCCCTAAATAAAATAAAATTGAAGATTATGCATAAAAGTAATGAAAACTTGGATTATGACTAATTACGTAAATTGCATAAAGTTTTTTGGGTCAGAGTGAGGTTCTTGTTGATGGGAATGATCAATTCAAATAGTTAACCATCCTTTTGGCAACTCAAATGACATTTGACAACTGATTACTTAACTTCTACGATGATCAGTGTTTTAGAAACCGGCCATAAAAGCGAAGGCGTGATTCTCGAATCACGTCCTTGCTCGCAAACGATTTAATGACATAAATATATTTTTATTGAAATAAATCAAAATTATAACTTTATAATTCGAACCTGTTGCTTTACAAACATGTAGTGAAACTTTCTGCTGTAATTGAGAACAAGTAATTAAATTCCATTCCAAAGTCGCGAAGCAGTCGCGTAACAGTTTGATCAGACTCTAATTGTGTCTCTTACTTATATAACATCTAAATGCACTATTAAAATTGGCTCTCCAATTATTGAACTGAAGGGATAGTAAGGCATTTAAAAAAAACGTATCAATATATGATTAAAATCTATATTTGTTTATGAAACCAACTACAACCTCTGGAGAAAATTTACTTGGGAATTTTTGAAATTTTAAGCAAAAAAAGATATAAACGCGACGGATTATTTTTAAATTTAAACATGGATTATCGCCTTTATTTTAAAATTTAAAAATAAATAAATTCGTAATTATAGTTTATGATAGCCGCCATTTGCAACGTTTCCGTAGGGTTGCAGATGCGTTGCCACCTTTCAATAAAGTGGGCTCCGGCGACCTCACTCACCAGACGAAATGCAGCATTAGTACACTTCCACTTCACGCTGGTCTTCTGTGAGGTCCCGAATTGGTACTTACCCGCATGGACCTGCCCGATCGTGCAACAGCGAACTGTTGCATGGCCCTATCATAGTTTATAATATGTATTGTGGTATTCGTGAATTTAATGAAGACAAAATATTATTTATGGTCTTATTAGGATTCCGTACCTCACCTCCGCACCTCAAAAGGTAAAAAGGAACCCTTATACGATCACTCTCTTGTCCGTCTGTCTATCCGTGTATCATCATCGGTTTTCTCAGCAAGTTGAAATTACTGCTTTATACCAGATGCTGGGGTCTATAGACATAATTAGGTGTATAAAAATCAAGATCCTGATTCAACACGATAGAAAGGTATGGGCAAATTTAGATTTGCGCGAAAACTGTACACCTTAATTTTCTAACTTCTTTAGTTTTCGGAATTTTGCTTTTACTTGTGCTGTAAGACCTTGCTTTTAAACAAAATTGTCAATTCTGGATCTAGAATTGACAATCGGAAGTAATTGGGGCGAAAACCTATATGGATTCCCGTTGACCTAGAATCACGAAATTTGGCGAAAAGCAAGGCCTTACAGCAAAAATAAAGAAAAATGCAAAAAAAAATAAAATAAAAGGTTGAAAATTAAAGTGTTTCCACATACATACATAGTTAACCAATTATGATAGTGTTCTGAGTTGTGTGGGCGCTCAAACAAATACAATTATATACTGGATAATGGTGCGGAACCCTTCGTGCGCGAACCCGACTCAAACTTGGGCGGTTTTTATTATTTAAGTTAAATGCTCGGGTGACATGACTAGTGGTCCGATAAGATATGTTCTCTTAACAATTCCGTTAACGAGACAGTCAACGCTGTTTGCGTGGAAACCAGAACAACAAACTTTAAACCACAAGCGAACCAAAAGCTTGTAAAAAGGAACAAGACAATGTAAGCGCGAGCACAAACTGAGATATAACCGACACACATTATTATATAAACGTATTTTTTTTGTGTTTAAGAACTATATTTCTTATAAGTAGTAAAGTAGCATTCATCATATTACATTATAACTAGTCGTACGTCACGTCACTTAAACTCTTTCCTACCGTATAATTGTTCTATTTGGTCAGCAGATAGAAAAGATTTGATGTGTGGCAATTATATCTTTAAGGTAAATCAGATTTTAAACCAAAAAATTCTAAAAATATTCGTTCCAATTAAAATTGGCCTAAAAATACATTCATGTCGCATTTTAATTTAAGTTTGGTAAAAATATTGAAAATTTACAAATACATTTAATCATTACTATACATATTTACGAAGCACTGCAATAACTTAAAACATATCTTATCATGATTAAATGATGATTGAAATATTTTCTATAATTATTATTAAAAAAAAATTGTTAAGAAAATTATTATTGATCATTATTGCAATGTACTGTGGTCAATAAAGTTGCCAGTAATATTAACAGTAACAGGAAAAGGATTACGAAATTGCTGTTAGTTAAAAATTGCATTTAGGATATTTAACGTATATTAAAGGAAATGGGAAGAGACGAAGTCATTAAAATGCGATCATGGATACATGTTATTGTAGAAAGCATGAGAGTGATGCGCATACGCTTTCCGGACGCCACACGAATTCGTACCGATTCTAATAAAATTGAACGTAGAGTATTTAAACGCGTTAAATACGCGACACGCATTAAGATTAGACAAATGGTGACATGTTAGAGATTCAGTACGCTCGGAATCGGTCTTGTTTGATTGTACCTTTCACTCAGACGTCGGATTAAGCGTGCATCAAATGTTTGAATTTTTAAACGATTTACATAATCACACAATTCTCTATTCTATGACTTTGAATTAAGAGTTAAATAATTTATATTATGTAAATGGTTTAACTTTAATCATAAAAATGATTTCAACAGTCGATGGATATCTCAATCAAATCTAATTTAAACAAGTACGGTTTCTGGATGACTTCAAGTTGAACTAACAAGTTTTCTTAAGTAAATACAATATAGTTTAAATGTGCAAAAAAAACGGAAATAATTAAATACAAAAAATTTATCATCATGGCAATATGTCTAATGATATCGTGATCATTTCTCAACATGCGTTAGACATTAAGAATGTATAAAAACAAATCGACAGATTACTATTCGATTGAATACAATTTGCTTTACACCACTGATATTAACATACTTTCTCAGCGATTGATTGAAGTTGATTACTTAACAATAAATAAGAATAAGATTGTATTTTTAAATTGGCCATGTTATTGTATTTGTCATCATGATGCGGATGCGCAATCTGAGTTCACAATCCCGTGGCCAGCACCAATGAAATTTTTAATT